CAGAAAGACATTGGATAATGGAAAAGTCTGCTGAACTAAATCAACCAGTTTATTTCAAGGATGTGCTGACTTCACAATGGAAGCCAGGAGATGTGCTGCGTTGGGGAAGGGGTTTTGCTCTTATCTCCACAGGTGAGGAAAAATTATGGATACCGTCAAAATTAATAATGGTTCGGTTTGAAGAAGAGAAGTCACTTGGAAAAGATAAATAACAATTCATTCACAAGGATGACCGGCATTCAGATGGTAAGGATTACAGATAGGTTGGGGGCAGGGTTCTTTTCTTATCCCCACAGGAAAATACTCATCTCCAAAGAATTTAAGGGACCCTGAATATTTAATTACTGATGGATGGAAAATAGTTACGACCCACTAAACATCAACAATAAAATTCTATACATATTGTAAGTATTGATTTTTTATATATATTTATATGTTTTATTGAACACTTCTTTATAAATGTGTAGAGCTGGTTTTGGAGTTGGACTATGGCTCAGTCCCTCTTCAATTCCAAGCCTGTTAATAAGGGATATTTCAGAGTTTCTGTCTCAGGTCAGGAGCCATGAAATGGGACAGAATAAGAATAATTTTATACTTGATAAGCTTTCTTTGCCTTTCCTCATATCTGTGTCTTTCTTTATATGTCAGTATATGTCCTTGTTGTTAATGTTTAAATTTCCCATAACAAGCAACGTATTTTCCTACAGTAATCTTTGAAGTTTACAGGATGAAGATGGGGCCCCACAACATCAACTCAATCTAGTTTTTATGACATCATGAATTTTTTTTAAGCGCTAATATTAGACCTGTTTTTTGATACCAACTGCAGGAGACAATTTCGAATGATGCACATTTTTGACAACACTCTGGCCGGACCTTCTCAAAACGCTCAGAGACTAGTTATAATTTTCTTAGGTCAAAGATTAATTTGGGAATTTTACCATCATTTGCTTTCACAGGGGCCCCTAAGAAGAATGTCGCCCCCATGTCAGCTAGAAGCAATCTAAGAGGACGACGTCCCCTCTCCCAACAGAGTTTGCCCACGGGGTTAGGGACATCTTTTAGTGGTTGGTTTAGGGTTGAGGGGATGGGGAGATATTGTATGGAATTAGGAGTATATTCAAAAAAAGGGGGGGGGGATTAACTGGTTTGATGGGATGATTGGTATTTGTGACTTACTGTTTTTAGAAAATTATATTGGTACTGTTTCTTGTATATTGATATATTGAATGTGAGTGTTCCTACCTCTATTTTTGTATAAGAGTATGCTTATATTGTATGGATACATCTATCATATCACAATGTACATTTCTACCTCTGATACTATTTATGTAATAACATTGTTTACATTTGATATGTAATGACATTGTTTACAGGTGAAGATCATTGTCTTCTTATTGCACAGTTGTTTATTCTCTTAGTTTTCAAATTAGATAGATATAGAGAATTATATGTTTGTCATATTTATTCTTAGGTTAATCAGGTCTTTTAGATACATAGAGATTATTTTTAGTATAGATAGTATAATCTTCAGCCTCTTTGAAGAGCTGTAGAAAATGGCCTTTAATCTAACCTAGAATTCTGTGTCAACAAGACACAATTACTCCTGGCAACACCACTCTACTCCCGAGAGATCATTGAGCACCAAAGACACTCCACTGGGAGCTTGTCTTCTTGGCAGAACTGGCCTTTGGGTTAAGAAAAGCCCATACCTCAACTACTGACTAAGATATGAAACAGGATTGTCTTATCTTGCCAAGACAGGGTAAGATAATTCTAAGAAAGTTCCTTGCATTTGATAATGGTATGTCAGTTATGTTAGGCCTTAGCCAAAGTTGGTTGACTCAACATTGCAAATGAGACTTTGGGTGATTGCCTAGGTAGTCAGTTGTCTCTGTCATTTGTTGCACATTTTGGATATCTCTCATTTGTTAAGTAATATTTTTTCCCTTCTCAGATCTTTGATGGAGTTGAAGATTATTTAATTGTAGTTACTCTCTACATTATTTAGACTCGTTGAGATAGAATGTCTATCAAAACTTTTGTTTTCAATATTGTTTGTTATATTTATCATTTGTTATTATTGTTTATAGTTATATTTGGTTTCGTTCTGTCTTATTTAGACAAAAGGGGGAGATGTAGGGTTGAGTCAGCCCCTTTAGGGGGCGGGGTTTGTGGACAGATAAATCGAGCGTGCGAAGGCTGCACGCTCCCTTTTTCCTTCCTACCTCCTGTGCTACGCGGGAACTTCGGTTCTGTAAGTTTATCATTAAAGTGGTAAATATTCTTTAATATCTGCATTGCATTTATTTACACCGATACAACAAATAAGCAGGAAGAAGTCTTGAGAAACCACCGCCCCAATTCCTTTAACCTGTGGTACCTAACCTCCTGCCTTTTTATTATAAAAAAGGGATAGGTATGTAATGATCTGTTCTGTCCTTTAAGAAACAAGCCATGCCCACTCCCTCCCCCTTCTGCTGAGACAGGCTGATCTTTAGCTTCCAGCCTGAGTTCCTTCTCTTTTCCATCTCCCTCTCAAAGAGGCAGCTTCTGCCTCTCTCCACTTCTCCCCTTTCCCCTCTGTCTCTCCCTCCGTCCCTCTCCCTCCCTCTCTCTGTCTTTCTCTCTCTGCTTTTCTCCTTCTCCTCCTTCCCTTCCATAACCCACTAAATAAATATCCAACCTCACTCTGCATGGTGTTCCTATCCATGTCTCTGTCACCCGCTACCACGTGTCTCCTCTCCGTGTCTCCCTGCCCTAGACCAGCCACCGCTCGGGGACCTGCAGACATCCCTGCCTGGGACTGGCTGCTCTCAGGGCCCACTGCCTGCTGCCACATGGCCCACTGCCACTGCTTAGGGACCTGCAGTGTTTTTGCTGCCAGCCGCCGCTGGGGATCCTGCAGCATTTTTAATTTTTCCATTACAACTGGGAGTTTGTGAAAGCTACCACAGGGGAGAGAGGAAAGAGACCAGGTGTTTCTCCTCTGGCAGCTCACTTAAATACCCTAACCTCCCTAGGGGAGGGGTCAGGATCTGGAATGCATGAATTTGGAGGATGGTCACCTTTGTGGCCTCCCGGTTCCCCCTCAGGGCTACCCGAGAGCACAGGAATCCCATTAAACCTAGATATTTCTTAATTTGACTTGTTGTGATTTGGCTTGATGGGATTTTTGCTTTGGCAGAGAACTCGCGCATTAGGAAAAATTCCTAAAACCAGGCATCACCGAAGAACCCAGACCATCCAAAGGAAATTCCTAACTTTCCAACTGTTGTAGATAGGATCACCTGCCAGCACACTCACCAGGACACCCCTAGACAAATGTCAGCCGTTCAGGAGTCCTGAACCTTAGAAATCCCTTGCTCCCACCTTTACTACTTATAAAAACCCAACTCTAACTGAGTTTGGGACTCTCCAATTATTCAGATAGGTTGGACATGCAGAGAGACAGTGTTTGCAAACTTGTTTAAAATAAAGAAAGGGCCAGGCGGTGGTGGCGCACGCCTTTAATCCCAGCACTCGGGAGGCAGAGGCAGGCGGATCTCTGTGAGTTCGAGGCCAGCCTGGTCTACAAGAGCTAGTGCCAGGACAGGAACTAAAAAGCTACAGAGAAACCCTGTCTCAAAAATCCAAAAAAAAAAAAAAAGTTTCGGGCTGGAGAGATGGCTCAGTGGTTAAGAGCATTGCCTGCTCTTCCAAAGGTCCTGAGTTCAAATCCCAGCAACCACATGGTGGCTTACAACCATCTGTGATGATGTCTGGTGCCCTCTTCTGGCCTGCAGGCATACACGCAGACAGAATATGTATACATAATAAATAAAAATTAAAAAAATAAAATAAAATAAAGAAAGGCTCTTTGCTTTCACATACAGGACTCGTTCTCCTTGCTGGTTTTTGAGGGACTTCTTGGATCTGGGCATAACACAGGCAGGGTTATGAGGGCAGTGGAAAGAGAGAACCATCTACTTGAATTTGGCAATTTATCTTTAGGGCTGTTCAATCCCTGAGGATGAAAAAGGGGTGGGGTTTCCTGGTCGGATCTGTACTGGAAGTGCTTGCATTCAAAGTTGAGTAGAAAAATATTTCCACAAGAGGAGGAAAAAAAATAAAATCAAAGGAAATCTTTTTTTTTTTTTTTCTAGATAGGGTTTCTCTGTGTAGCTTTGGAGTCTGGCTGGCACTTGCTCTGTAGACCAAGCTGGCCTCGAACTCACAGAGATACGCCTGCCTCTGCTTCCCAAGTGCTAGGATTAAAGGCGTGCGCCACCACCCAACCAAAGGAAACTCTTAAGGAAATGCTGATTCAAGATCTTCAGGGTCTTAAAGACGACACACAAAACAGGCATTAAACATGAGACTATGGTGAGAGAAGAGGGTGAAACATGACCTAGGGAGCGTGAGAAACATGCTTGGGGGGAGGGGACACCCATCACACAAAATTTAAACACAAAATGAGAAGATGCGAGTCCCTTTGTGTATCACACAGACACACATTAAAGATGTGTGACAGACCAAAGACCATACAATCTCAGTGGTGGAATTGTGATCTTTTCCTAGTTGTTTGTATTTTTCATACTTTCTGAAGTGAACATGCATTAATTTTGCAATAAATGGCAGTTTTATAACTAAAAAAATATCTTCAAAACAAAGTATTTTCGGCCGCTAGTTGGGGAGGAGCTTCAGTAAACATTCTTGACAAAGCCCGCTCGGCCCAAACAGTTCCTGCCGATCCCGCGACGCTAGGCTGTGAAATTTGACCCCTTCGGCCTACCGTAGCCGGAAGTGCGCTCGACATTGCTTCCGGGCTTTCCTTTAGTTTTCCCAAAACCTTGTCTCCCTCACGCTGCCTCCCCACCCCCGTTGTCGCTCGCAGCGGTTTTTGTGTTTGTAGGCGAGGCCGAGCCCTGGCGTCGAAATCTGGGGTCCGTGTGGAGAGACGCAGCCCTGTGGTGAGGAGCGGCGTTGTGGGGAGGACGGACTGAGGGAGGCTGAGGCGGACCCGGGCTGCTTTTCTCGTGGGAGCCCGCGGCTGTGCGAGGAGACTCGGCGGAGGGCGGAGAAGGCCGGGGGCGGGGCCGAGCGGGTGTGAGGCCGGGGCTGCGGGCCGCCGAGCCCCGTGCGCGCGGTTCCTGGAGCGTGGGTGTGAGTGGTCGCCTTCGCTGCAGGCTTTGCTCTCTTCACGCAGGGAGACCTTGTCTGTCTTCCTTTGCTTTCTGCTGGGCATGGAATCCGGGGCCTGGTGCCGCTGAGAACCCCTTCCTCAACGCAGCCATCCCCCTGCCTGGTCGTAGAAGCTACTTTCCACAGGGAAGCCAAGTAACGTGAGAAAGAACCCAAGATGGAATTAGTTAATTACGATCCGCTGTCTGCAGGTGGCCGTGGCACTTAGATTAGACGCAGAGTCGAGACAGAGTCATCCTATTAGTTAAAGAACACGTTGTCTCATAGAAATACAGAAATACCTTACTTTGTAGGTAAGCTCTTCAGTTTCCTGAAACACTATTTTGCCAGCTCCCTGTTGCATGTTGGTAGATCTTATTCAGGCCCGTTATTCTATATGAGCAGGTGAGTTTCCCCAGAAAAATCTCCGGGTCACATTCGGGAGGAGGAGGAGAGAGAACAGACTGTGTGACTAAGAGGTTGCAGGATAGAGTGCGTTTTCTTCCGAGATTGAAATTGTGAGTTGAGGTGGGAGTCATGCTCGTTTCTTATTCCCCACAGGGCAAAACCATGTCCTCCCTCCCAGGGTGCATTAGTTTGGACGCAGCAACAGCTGCAGCTGACTCTGATGACATTGCTGAGCTGCAGCAGGCAGTGGTTGAGGAGCTGGGTATCTCTATGGAGGAACTTCGTCATTTAATTGATGAAGAACTGGAGAAGATGGACTGTATACAGCAGCGCAAGAAGCAGCTGGCAGAGCTGGAGACGTTGGTGCTGCAGAAGGAGTCTGAGGTGGCTTATGTTGACCAGGTATATGACGATGTGTCCAGGTAAGGACTCGTGGAAGCAGAAGCCAGTGTGCGCTTTTTCCATTCTTTTTGTTTTTATGTTTTTTATACATTTTTTATTGATATTTATTGAGCTCTACATTTTTCTCTGCTCCCCTCCCTGCCTCTCCCCTCCCCCCCTCCAGCCCCCACAAGGTCCCCCCATGCTCCCAATTTACTCTGGAAATCTTGTCTTTTTCTACTTCCCATGTAGATTAGATCTATGTAAGTCTCTCTTAGTGTCTGCATTGTTGTCTAAGTTCTCTGGGATTGTGGTAGCCAATGTGCATTTGCAGGCTTGTTGGGGTGGTTTTTCGTGACCTAGTTCAGTCATGTGGGACCTCACACTTCTTCAGGGTTTATAGGGCAGCGTAGCAGCATGAACTTTTCCCCTGTGTATTTGGTCAGTAATAAGCAAGTTAAAAGCTTTTGAATTCTTTTGTCTTCCTTCTCTGCTAAACTTTGTTTCCTTAGTAAGATCACCAGGAAGTAAGGATTGTGGATTTGCTGTTTTCTGTTTCTCTTTTTTTGGGGGGAGGGGGTGCTGTTTAGATACAGGTTTTCTCTGTGTAACAGTCCTGGCTGTTCTGGAACTCACTTTGTAGACCGTGCTGGCCTCGAACTCACAGAGATCTTCCTGCCTGTGCCTCCCAAGTGCTGGGACTAAAAGCATTCGCCACCACTACCCAGCTCTGTTTTTCTTTTCCTTGTGAGACAAGATCTCAATATCTAGACTTAACTGGCCTCAAACTTGCAGAAATTTGCCCTAGCCCTGCTTCCCAAGTGCTGCAATTAAAGCACCCAACTTTTTGTGGTTGTTTTGTTAGGGTCTCACCAATACCAGTGTGTGGCGTTGAATTTGATGGTGGCTGAGCAGATCTCGACCTTCCTGATCATCCTCTTACATCCTGAGTTCTGGGATGTAGGTGTGGGCCAGCATGCCCTGTTTGTGTTGTATTGGAATAGCACCAATACAACAAGGGCTCGGCAATCATTCTGCCAGCTGAGCTATATCCTCAACCTCTCAGCTTGCTGTCTTTAACTGAGAAACATTAATAAATTCATAATCCTTCCAGAATGTCTGTTTCAGATCACCAAGTAGATGGTGTTAGTATTACACTTGGGGAGAGCTTTTGTGGAGGAACTAGTTGAAACTGATGCCAGTATTTATTTGTTTGTTTGTTTTCCTTTTTTTCTTTTGTTTGTTTTTGTTTTTGAGACAAAGTTTCTCTTGGTTGTTCTGGAACTCACTCTGTAGTCCAGACAAACCTCAGCAGAGGATCACTCATAGAGATCCTCCTGTCTCTGTCTCCTGAGTGCTGAGAGTAAAGGCGTGCACCACCACTGCTCAGCTTGTTTGCTTATTTTTGATACAGAGTCTCTTTACATAGCTCTAGCTGCTTTTTAACTCACTTTATAGACCAGGCTGGCCTGGAATTTACAGAGATCCACCTGCCTTTGCCCCTGAGATTAAATGTGAAGGTGTGTGCCTTCCTGCCTGGTGAAATTATGCCACTATTTAAAACCTTATTCTTTTTCTTTTTTCTTTTTTAATAATTTATTTATTTTACATACATTGGTATTTTGCCTGCATGTATATCTCTGTATGAGGGTGTCAGATCTTGGAGTTATGGACAGTCGTTAGCTGCCATATGTGTGCTAGGAATTGAACCCAGGTCCTCTGGAAGTACAATCAGTACTCTTAACCACTGAGCCATCTCTCCAGCCCCTAAAACCTTATTCTTAGTTCCCAAATCCACATAAATAATTAGTGCTGGGTCTTCTAACTTTCAGCAGGTAGAAAGATACGACTCTAACAAATTAATTATTTCATGTAGTAATTGCTTGGAAACAAGAAACGTTATGGAAAAAGCATAAATAGATACTTTGGAACATGTATGGCAAATAGTCTATATTCTTGATACTGTGTTGTTACTCATGTTTTTAAAGGTTTCTCACTCTGTAGGCCTTGCTGGCCCTGAGCTCACTGTATTGTCTTACGCTGACCTCAAACTTAGGCAGTTCTGGTACTTGAGGCTCCTAAGTACCAGGATCATAGGTGTGAGCTCCTAGGCTTGACATTGCATAAATGTGGATGAATGCTAATGCTCCAAACCTTACTTCTCCACTGGCTTTGATCTTCTCTGTGTGTTCCAATATTAGGGCAGTGATTAACTGTGAGTCTCTGGTGAAGGATTTCTACTCTAAGTTGGGACTGCAGTATCATGACAGTAGCTCCGAGGATGAATCTTCCCAGCCTACAGAAGTAATTGAGATTCCTGATGAAGATGATGATGTCCTCAGTATTGATTCAGGTAAATGATGAAACTTTAGTTAGAAAAATTCTTAGAAAGCTGGGCGATGGTGGCACATACCTTTAATACCAACACTTGGGAGACAGAGGCAGGCAGACCTCTGTGAGTTTGAGATCATCCTGGTTCACAGAGTTCCAGGATAGCCAGAGCTACACAGAGAAACCCTGTCTCGAAAAAAAACCGAGAGAGAGAGAGAGAGAGAATGAGAATGGACCAGGCATGGTGGCATACACTTTAGTCCCAGCACTCAGGAGGCAGAGGCTGGCAGATGTCAGTTCCAGAACCACAGAGCTAAACAGTGAGAGCCTTTCTCAAAAACACCAAAAAAAGCCGGGCGGTGGTGGCGCGCGCCTTTAATCCCAGCACTCGGGAGGCAGGGCCAGGCGAATCTCTGGGAGTTCAAGGCCAGCCTGGTCTACAAGAGCTAGTTCCAGGACAGGAGGACAGGCTCCAAAACCACAGAGAAACCCTGTCTCGAAAAACCAAAAAAAAAAAAAAACAAAAAACAAAAAAAGAAAGAAAGAAATTTCTTAGAATAAAAGCTGAAATATGAGATGAGCAGGTAGAAAATAAGGAACCATATTGTCAACAACTCCATATACTACATTGCCTGGCACATTTATTGTAGAAAAAGCAAGTATTATTAGCACCATAAATATTCCCTGTGTGCTATATCCTGATTGCTTCCTTTTCCAATTTCAGATAAGGTATATTTTCTATCCCCCCCCCATGTGTTTGTGTGTGGTTTACCTATGTCTTAATTTCTTTTTCTGTAACTATCATAAAATATTCTGACAAAATTAATTGAAGGGAAAGAGCTTTTTCTAATGATTATTTCCAGATCATGGCCCATCATGGTGAAGATTTACAGTGGCAGGAGCCTAAAACATCTGGTCTCATTGTATCTGAAGTCTGGAGATAAAGAGGATGCCTCATGCGCTGCTGCTTAAGCTAGCTAACTCTCTTTCTCTCTTTATGAAGTCTAGGGAATGGTGACCACCCTCGTGGGCAGGATCTTCCACCACTACACAGTCAAAATAATTCCCTTTTTACAAATTTTGTCGATTTCCCATTAGTGGCCACAGTATATGTACACATGGGCATGTTTGAGTGTGTGAGTACATGTATGTTTGCAGATGTTCAAGCATGAGACTTCATAGGTCTACAGCTTTCTTCCTTCACTTTATAATGGACGCAAGGTCTCACTGGACTTGGAGCTTGCCAACTCTAGCATGTGTAGATAGCCAGCTAACAGTGTATCTCTGTTTTGTGGGTACTGGGATTGCAGGTTTGGTACTGAGGATTCAAACTTCAGGACTTGGGACTTGTATTGTAAACACTTCATGCATTGAATCATCTCTCTACTATTATTTTGAGCTAAGAATTTACTGTATCTGGCTGGTGTGGAACTCACCATATAGAGCATACTAGCCTCAGCCTTGTAGCGATACTTCTGCTTTCTAAGTGCTATGGTTACAGACGTGGCTAACACACCAAATTTATGTGTGGCTCATGACTTCCCTCAGTAGGCAAATTTAGCATTGACTCCATAGCAGTTGGTTGTTTTTTGTTTTTTGTTTGTTTCTTAGTTGTTGTGCGGTTTGGGGGAGGTTGTTTTGTTTTTATTTTTCTATTAAGGGCCTCCTGATTGCTGGGATTTCTGTTATGTGAGATTTCATTAAGGTATTATTCACATAGCATAAAACATAGACATATTAACTATGTGATTTGAGTTTTAGTACATTTATATAGTAATCCAAGTTTAGAAAATTTGTTATCACTTCAAAATATTCCTTTTACTAAGTTTCCATGGTCACCCCTAACAACCACTGATCGTGCCTTCTTTCTACTTTTGTCACTTATAGATAAATATAACTACAATCATGCAATGTGTATACTGTCACTTAATTGGGGGGGGGGGGGGGTACAGGGTTTCTCTGTAGCTTTGGTGCCTGTCCTGGAACTAGCTCTTGTAGACCAGGCTGGCCTCAAACTCACAGATGTTCACCTGCCTCTGCTTCCCGAGTGCTGGGATCAAAGGTATGCGCCACCACCGCCCAGCCTGTCACTTAATTTTTAAAAAATAAGGGTCACTTTATTGTAAAGAACATGCAAATAAAAATCATCCTGCAGCTAGATCAACACAGCCCAGACCAAAAGTCTATATGTGAACTTCTGTACAGTAGAACAGCTAGCCATTCTGAAGCTGTGAAGCTTCATTTTGGATTTTGCACTTTGACTGTCAATGACTTTCTTTTGAGACAGAATATCACTAGTAGCCCTGGCTGGCCTAGAAGTCAGTGTGTAGGCAAGACTGGCCTCAAACTTAGAAATTTGCCTACCTCTTCCTCCTGAGTGCTGGGATTAAAGACATGTGTGCCATACCTGGCTTCAATTACTCTTTTATATACTTAAGACCACACACACTCTCTCACACTCTCAGTTGTACTTTTGTACACTTAAGACCACATACACACACAAAACAAAACCCAAAAATTCTGTGGCAGAGTTCAAAGTAGAAAAAGTTAGCCTTATCCATTTGTGGTCATGCATGCCTTTAATCCCAACACTTTAGAGGCAGGTGGCAGAGGCAGGTGGATCTCTGAGTTCAAGGCAAACCTGGTCTACAAAGTAAGTTCCAGGACAGTCAGAGTTGCGCTGAGAAACCTTGTCTCAAAAAGAAAAGAAAAGGGGCTGGAGAGATGGCTCAGTGGTTAAGAGCACTGGCTGCTCTTCCAGAGGTCCTGAGTTCGATTCCCAGCAACCACATGGTGGCTCACAACCATCTGTAATGAGATCTGGCGCCCTCTTCTGGTGTGCGGGCATACATGGAGGCAGAATGTTGTATACATAATAAATAAATCTTTAAAAAAAAAAAAGAAAGAAAAGGCTAGCCTTATGCCCTTTTCTGTGTCTTTTACCTGCATTCCATTCTTCCTCATCACCCAGTGTTACCCTTTTCTGTTCTTCTTTCTACATGTTAAGTTGTATGTACATTTGTTTACATATACGTGTGTATACATTATAGGCAAAGATCCAAATATGTAAAAGGAATGTTTACCTTTCTGAGATTTAATGGCCTCACTTAATACCCATTTTAAGTCTGTCCATTTTCTTGAAAGTGTTGTGATTTCATTTTTCTTTAGTTGAATAATATTCCATTTACATATATACCAGATTTTCATTATTCATTCGTTGGCTTTTTTTCCTGCTTAGTCAGTGAGTAACTTTATTGTCTTATGAAAAGAAATCTTCATAGATAATTGCTTTAGCTTTCAACAGCCTGTTCCTGAGCTCTTAGGAAACTTGCCCTCTTTTGAGCAACTCAGTCTTTCCTCTGGGCAACAGACATTTTGGGACAGTTTCACCTTTTAACTTCTCTCATGGGCTTCTTCTCATTGGCTGGATTCTCTCGGGTAACAGCATGAGCTTTTTTACAAATCTCCTCCATCATGTCTGGAGTGCAGTGTTCTTTATGAACTGAGAGACCTGTTTCTTGTAAGCATCTTTGTCTTCATTAGGTAATTCCTGTAGTGTGTAATATTCTGACCATGCTGTCTTCTCATGTACTTCTGCATTGACTTGCTTTCGGAATCATACTTAGGAAATTGTTTGGTACAGTGAGGAGAAGACAAGCCTCTATTCACAGCTCCCTTCAGGGACCCAAAAACTTTATTGCCAGTTGTACTTGGGGCAAGACTTGTACCCAGATAACAAGTAAAGGCAACAGGCTTTTCATATTGTATTCATCTCCAGTTGCCTCCACTTGGCCTTCATAGATCTTGTCCATGCCAAACCTATTGAGAAACCTGCATGCCAGCAGCAGGCCAGTGCTGTAGACTGCAGCGTCATCCGTGTGCGTATGCTGTGCATGCGCAATCCCAGTGGGCATGCGTAACCTGACAGATGCATGAACTCTCATCCTATCTATATTCGGGTTGGTGTGTTGTGTTTATTGTCATTTTTGTCTTGGATCACCAATCCCTCCGTTTTCCTGAAAACATTGTGATTTTATGCTTCTTTAGAATTGAATAATATTCCATTTACATATGTGTGCCAGATTTTCATTATTCATTCCATTTTCCCCTCTTTTATTTTTTTCTTTTTTCTTTTTCTTTTCTTTTTTTGGTTTTTCAAGACAGGATTTCCCTGTGTAACAGCCCTGGCTGTCCTGGAACTTGTTTTGTAGACCACGCTGGCCTTGAACTCAACAGAGACCAACCTGTCTCTGCCACCCAAGTGCTGGGTTTACAGGCTTGTACCACCCCCAGACTTTGTGTTTTGTTTTGTTTTTCAGGACAGTGTTTCTCTTTATAACAGTCCTGGCTGTCTTTGAACTCAGTTGGTAGACCAGGCTGGCCTTGAACTCACTGAGATCCTGTTGCCTGTGCACCATAAATGCTGGGATTAAACCACAGCCTGTCCTCACTCTCCCGCTCTTAACTGTTTCCCATACTATCTACAGTCTTTCATCTTCCCAACTTTCTTTCAACTTTCATGTTTTGTTTTGTTTTTTAATTTTTATTTTCTAATCCACTGAGTTTAATTAGAGTTGCTTACACGTGCATGAGTGTGGGGTTCTTTACTGGATCATGGGCAACTTACCAGTGGCTACATACATCCCTGAAGAAGAATTGCTCTCCCTCCCCCAGCAGCATTTAATTGCCAATAGTTCCTCAGGGAGGGGTGGGACCTAGTGCCCCTCCCTCATCCTTGCTGGAATGTTGACTGACTTGATCTTCTGTGCATCATGGGCGGGTGACACCAGAGCTGCTGTGAGTCCTCCCTGTGCCATCCAGAAGACAACTTTTCCCAGCATTCCTCCTTATCCACCCCCTCTTCTGCAAGGTTGTCCTGACTTGTGGGCTTGGGGATGCTTATAGCCGTCCCATTTAGGGTATTCTAATTGCTTTGAACAGTTAGCAGTCTCTGCATCAACTGCTGTAGAGTTGTGCTACATTTGGACTCTTTCTAGTTTGGGATGTCATGAATGATGCTGCTTTGAATGTTTTTGTTTCAGTGTTTTTGTGGGCATTTTAGTAAACGTATGTTTGTCTTATTAGGCAAAATTGCCATAGTTTTTCAGAGCAGTTAGATCAGTTTCCATTCTCACAAATGATGGGAATAGCTCAGTGGTAGAATGCTTGACTGACATACATGACATACACAGTTGAGGTATGAGAATTCCAGGCTCCCTGTATTTACCAGTGTTGTTGCTCACAGGGTTTGCTTTTGTTTTTTGTCTTTCTGGAGACTTCAGGCAGAAGGATTACTGAAATGAGTCTTTCTCTGTCCCATCAGCCACCTCTCAAATAATGACACGAGACTTCTTATTAATTATGGAAACTGCCTTAGCTTAGGCTTGTCTCTAACTCGCTCTTACAACTTAACTCATTTCTGTTCGTTTATACTGCCATGTGACGTTTACCTCTCCTGCATGTCCTGCTTCCTCTGCGTCCAGCTGGCGATTCCCCCTTTCTTCTTCTCAGAGCTCTCTCTATCCTCAAGTCCCACCTATACCTCCTGCCTAGCTATTGGGCATTTAGCTTTTTATTAAACCAATCACAGTAACATACGTTACATAATATAGTCAAATATCTCGCAACAGTTTCAGGATAGCCTTGGTGGCAGAGTGAGGTCATCTCAAAAGCAGAGACGAAAGTTGAAAAGTCTCCTATTACCTAGAATATAGAAATTAATATAACAAGGGAAATAATTTTAGATTTTGGAGGCTGAATATCTCAGCACTTGGCAAGTAGAGATAGGTGAATCTCTTAGTTTAAAGACAGTTTAACTGAAGAGATGGCTCAGCAGTTAAGAGCACTGGCTGCTCTTCCAGAGTTCCTGAGTTCAGTTCCCATCAACCACATGGTGGTGGCTCATAACCATCTAAAAGTTGGATCTGATGCCCTCTTCTGTCATAAAGACATACATACAGATACAGCGCTCATATACATTAAATAAATGAATGAATAAATAAATCTCTAGCTGGGCAGTGGTGGTGCACGCCTTTAATCCCAGCACCTGGGAGGCAGGTGGATATTTCTAAGTCCCAGGCCAACCTCGTTTACAAGAGCAAGTTCCAGGACAGCTAGGACTGTTACACAGAGAAGCCCTGTCTTGAGAGAGAGAAAAATAAAAAAAGACTGCCTAGTCTGCATAGCAAGTTCTAGGCCAGCCAGCACAACAAACTGAGACCCTGTCTCAAAAGTGGAGAAGGGCGAAGGCTTTTAATGGATTCTTTGGAGTTCTTTTTATTTATTTATTTTTTGGTTTTTTGAGACAGGGTTTCTCTGTGTATCTCTGGCTGTCCTGGAACTCACTCTGTAGATCAGGCTGGCCTCAAACTCACAGAGATCCACCTGCCTCTGCCTCCCTGAGTGTTGGAATTAAAGGTGTATGCCACCACAGCCCAGCTTGATGTTGATTTTATTTGTTGTGGGGGTTCCTTGTTTCGAGACAGGGTCTTTTGTAACCCAAGCAGGCCTAGAACTTAATGTGTAGCTAAACATGACTTTAAATTCCTGATCTTTCTGCCTCTCTTTTAAACCTGAGGTTACACATGTATGCCATAGCATCTGGTTTTCCTAGATTTGTAAATGGTAATAAATACATGAGAAGATTTCTCAGCATCACTCATCATGGGTGACATGAAAATCAAAACCACTTTTTAACTGTATTACGTGCCTCTAAAACCAGCACTCAGGAAGCAATGCAATAAAGATTGTAGGGTCAAGGGCAGCTTCCACTTACATACTAAATACCAGGCCAGCCTGGTATTATTTGACTCTCTTGTTAGACTTTCTTTGGATTGCCAGCCCCCAAATAATGACACAGAGACTTACTAATTATGAATAGTTGGTCTTTAGCTTAGGCTTGTTCCTAACTAGCTCTTATAACTTAAATTAACCTGTTTCTATTAATCTGCATTCTGCCACATGACTCTTTACCTCTCCTCCAGGTCTTGGTGGCATTTCCTGTCCACCTAAGTTCTAACCCTGAGTTCCTTTCCCTCCCTGGAAGTCCTGCCTATTCTTTCCTGCCTAGCTATTAGCCATTCAGCTCTTTAGTAAATCAATCATAGTAACACGTCTTCACACAGTATGAACAAATATCCTACAGCAGCCTGGGCTACATGAAGCCTCACTCTAAAAAAAACAAAAAAAAGCAAACAAACATTTATTTTAGCATTATTCATAGTTGCTAAATAGTAGAAGCAGGTGAGTTGAGGAATGGGTAAACTGAATACAAGGTATCTGCTTACAGTGAGGTGCTATTCAGCTATGAAATTGTACCGACATGTTCTATAAGAGAGGGACCTGTGTAGACCACAGATGTTATATGACTCATTTATATGAAATGTCTAAAACAGGCAAATCCATGGAGACAGACTATAGATTTCTGGTTGCCTGGGGCTGGGGAAGTGGAGGAAAGGAATGATGGGTAATGAGCATGAAGTTTCCTTTTGGACTGATGAGAATGTTTTGAAAATAAGTACAGCATGATAGTGTCTCAGTCTAATCAATGGACTAAAATTCACTGAATTACATGCACATGGATTGGACCTTAATTAAGAATTTGGTTTTTTGGCTGGGGTATGGTGGCGCACACCCTTAATTCCTGCACTTGGGAGGCAGAGGCTGGTGGATCTCTGTGAGTTTGAGGACAGCCAGGGCTACACGGACAAAACCTGTCTCAAAAAGAAAAGAAAGAAAAATTCAAATAGATGATGAATACCTTGAGTGTTGTAGACCCCCACCCGTCTCTGTGCTTCATCTAAAGGGAAGCACTGGCAGGAGCTTACTGCTTTTCTCTCTAGACTTTTTTCACTACCCTGTCTCCTACTGGGAATTGAGCCCAGGGACTCATCATCTATATTACCAGAAAATGTGCCCCCACCTGCTGTTTACTTATTTGTTTGGTTGGTTTGGGGGTTTAAAAGTGGGTTTTGCCTTTTAGAGATTTATTTTTATTCTTTTTAACTATGTGTTAAAAAATGTCTGTCTATGTGTATATGAGTATATGAATATGAGTATAACCGGACGCAGCTCAGGAAAGGTCACCGGATCTGAGATGTGGTGATAAGTGGTTGTAACTGCTGATGTGGGTGCTACGGTCCAAACTGGGTCCTCTGAAAGAGAATTGTTCCCTTTAATCACAGAGTCTGCTCTTTAGTCTTAGACTTTTGTTTTTTTGTTTGGTTTGGTTTTTTTATTCATATGTGTTCTTGGTTGGTGTGTAACTCACTGTGTAAACTAGCCTGGCCTAAATACTCCATTATCTTTCTGTCTTACCTCTCTATTTTGAGACAGGGTCTAAATTGCCCAGGCTGGTTTAGTTCTTATCTTGTAGCCACAGCAGACTCTCATGTTCTTGCCTCAGTCTCTCAAGTAGCTGAGTTCATATGTTTTGACACCAGGCACTGCTTTCCTTCAATATCTTCATATATTTATTTATTTAGAACATTTGTTTTCCTTATTGGTGCTGGGGATTGAACCCAGGGCCTTACCCATGTTATGTAAGTACTCTGCCAATGAGCTACTTCCCCACACTTGTTTTGTTTTATTGAAACAGGATCCCTCTGTGTAGCATTGGCTGTCCTTGAACTCCATCTGTAAATCAGCCTGGCCTTGAACTCATAGAGCTTCACCTACCTCTGCTGGGATTAAAGATGTTCTCCACAGCTGGGCAGCGGTGGCACTTGTCTTTAATCCCAGCACTCAGGAGGCAGAGACAGGTGGATTTCTGTGAGTTCAAGGCCAGCCTGGTCTAAACAGCAAGTTCAGGATAGGCTTCAAAACTACAGAGAAACCCTTTCTCAAAAAACTAAAAAAGAAAGAAAAGATGTTCTCCACCACCACTCAGCCATCCCAGACTTTTAAATTGCTTTTATCAATAATGTTTTTCTACTTATGATTTGAGTTCATTCAGTTCTTGCTTCATTGAAAATTCCAGTACTCCCAGGTGGTGGTGGCACACGCCTTTAATCCCAGCACTCAGGAGGCAGAGACAGACAGAGCTCTGTGAATTTGAGGCCAGCCTGGTCTACAGAGTGAGTTCTGGGACAGGCTCCAAAGCTACAGAGAAACTTTGTCTTGAAAAACCAAAAAAAGAAAATTCTGGTACTTATATCTGTATACTCATTAAAGTTCTTTTCTTCCATAGGTGATGCTGGAAGCAGAACTCCAAAAGACCAGAAGGTTAGTTGGGTTGGTTATAGGAAGTTAAGACACATGAAATTGGCCAAGAGGAATGTCTCAGTGGTTTAAGAGAGCATACTGCTCTTGCAGAGGACTTGAGTTCAGTCCCAGCACCATGTTGGTAGGCTTCCAGCTGCCTGTACCTTAACTACAAGGGAGTCAGTGCCCTTTTTTGGTATACAGGCACCTATATACAAGTGGCATTCACTTACAGAGACAAACAGACATAAAACCCAATTAAAGCCAGGCCTAGTAGGACATACTTTTAATCCTAGCACTGGGGTGGCAAGAGGCAGGTGGATCTCTGTTCAAGGCCAACTTGGTCTACATAGTGAATTCCAGGCTGTGTAGAAATACCCTGTCTCAAAAAACAAAATAGTAATAACTAAAAACAGTAAAGTTTTCTGAGTATAGTAGCCCATACACCTTTAATCTCCGCTCTGTGACGGCAGAGGCAGGCGGAGAGGTGGATCTCAATGGATTTGAGGCCAGCCTGATCTACATAAAGAATTCCAGGCTTGTTAGAGTTATAAAAGTGAGCCTCTGTCTCAAAAACTTTACTAGTAGTAGTAATAATAATAGCAATAACAATAATAAACCATAACTCTGTTTAAGAACACTCACTGCACCGGACAGTGGTGACGCACACCTTTAATCCCAACACTAGGGAGGCAGAGGTAGCTGGATCTCTGTGAGCTCAAGGCCAACCTGGTCTACAGAGTGGGTTCTAGGACAGCCAGTTCTACATGGAGAGACCCTGTCTCAACCAAAAATAACAACAAACAAACAAAAACCACTCACTGCTCTTGCAAAGGACCTAGGTTCACTATTCATCACTCCCATAATCCCGTTTTTTTTTTTGTTTTTTGTTTTTCTGGAACTAGCTCTTGTAGAGCAGGCTGGCCGCAAACTCACAAAAATCCACCTGCCTCTGCCTCCTGAGTGTTGGGATTAAAGGTGTGCACCACCACCACCCAGCTCCCATGATGTCTTATATGACTATCCATCACTCCAGTTCCAGGGGATCTAATGTCCTGACTTCAGCAAGCACATATGTAGTACACATAAATAAATCTAAAACAAGTTTTTAAAAATTATCTTAAAAAATTCATAGTTACTTGTTTAAAAGAATATATATGAACTCATAGGCTGTAAATGTTGGTCATCTGGTACAGTGCTTGCCCTAGCATGCAGGAAGCCTTGGTTCAGTTCCAGTACTACACCATCAGATTTGTGGTACCTGCCTATAATCCCAGCACTTGGGAGATGGAGGCAGGAAGACCAGAAGTTCAAGGTCATCCTCAGCTACCTAGTAAATTCTTGGCAGGCCTAGAATATAGTTGACCCTTTCTTTTTTGTTTGTTTTTTGTTGTTGTTTTGTTTTTTTGACACAGGGTTTCTCAGTGTAGCCCTGGCTGTCCTGAAACTCAATCTATAGATCAGGCTGGACTTAGACTCAGAAATGCCTGCTTCTGCCTTCCTAGTGCTGGCGTTAAAGGTGTGCGCCATTACCACCTGGCTCAGGTGACCCTATTTAAAAAAAAAAAATAGAAGTAGCTTTTGAAACTAGGAATAATTTTGGCCTGTGCATATAGTTCGTTTAGTTTCAATGTATCTATGATGTAGTAAGCCCCATGTGGATATTGCAAGAATGCAGAAAAATTGAGAAGTTGCCTCTCCCTGCACCTCCAAATATAATTGAATCTGTTTTGATTGTTGAAGACAAGTCTTCATAGTCAGTATTCTTTTTCCTGTTTTATTTTATTTTATTTATTTGCAGCACTAGGTATGTGAAGCAGGGGTCCCTGGACATGTTAAGCAAGTTCTGTCTCACTAAGTCCCTGGCTTTCTCATTGTGTCTTAACTCCTGATAACTGCATCCCTGAACCCTTCTGTTTTCCTACAGCTCCGTGAAGCTATGGCTGCCTTAAGAAAATCAGCTCAGGATGTCCAAAAGTTCATGGATGCTGTCAACAAGAAAAGCATTTCCCAGGATCTGCACAAAGGTTGGTGTTGAGGAGTAGCTACAGAGATGAGAGGTGTCCACAGTCGGCCTGAGCTTGTTTGATGTGGTGGCTCAGGCTGGTAACTGTTGTTACTATTGCTGTTAGTAAGGACGTGCTGGTAGGGTGTGCCGAAGGATACCTTTAGGTGTGAACGTGGGGATGTTCTGTATTCAGCGTTCTGTTTCTCCTGTTATTAGCATAAACAGTTGAGTTTGTCTTGTGTTGCTGCCTTTGTCCAAGGGTTCAGCAAAAGTATCTTGTGGTCGCAGGATACCTCAGTTTCCTTTATTTCCTATGCTACGATCTTTGTGATGGTGTCTTCTGTATCCTAGGCTAGACTTGAGCTTCATATTTTGCTGAGGATGACCTTAAACTTCTGATTCTCCTACCTTCCCTACCTGAATACTTGGGTTTTAGGCATGAAATACTATGTTGGGTATATGTCATAGTTAGATTGAAATTCAGGGCTTTGTGCATGCTAGGTAAGCACTCCACCAGCTGAGCTGCACCCCATCCTACTGTACTGCCCTCTTGACCTTTCCTTTCTCTAACCTATGACGTCACTCTTTATAACAACTCTGTGTGTCCGTAGGAACCTTGGGTCAGATGTCTGGAGAACTGAGCAAAGATGGGGACCTGATAGTCAACATGAGAATTCTGGGCAAGAAGAGGACCAAGACGTGGCACAAAGGCACCCTTATTGCCATCCAGACTGTTGGTATGTTCAAGCCAGAGGACGGACTAAGGAAAGTCTCCTGTGGGTCTCCATTGCTGATCCTTTCCCCAAAGCCTTTTCTTTCATCTCCTACATTGCACCCAGGTCTTAGAGTTGTGTTGTTGTCGTTTGTTTTGTTTTAATTCTGTTTGTCTTATACCCAGGGCTAGGAAAGAAATACAAAGTGAAGTTTGACAACAAAGGGAAGAGTCTGCTGTCCGGCAACCATATTGCCTACGATTACCACCCTCCTGCCGACAAGCTGTTCGTGGGCAGTCGAGTGGTGGCCAAATACAAAGACGGAAATCAGGTCTGGCTTTATGCTGGTATTGTAGCTGAGACCCCCAACGTCAAGAACAAGCTCAGGTACCTGGGTGGGTTTGTAGATTGTAGGGGAGCTGGGAGCACAGCACCCCACTATTCATAACCATGGGCAAGATTTCCCTGCCAGCTTTTGTGTTCTCATCCTTTGTAATCAGAAACTCTTCCTCTCTTCCCATGTCATATATTTTCTTTTTTTCATTTTTCTTTTTGTTTTTGTTGTGGCTGTTGTTTCTTGTTTTTGTTTTTGAGTCAGGTTTTCTCTGTAGATTTGGAGCCTGTCCTGGAATTAGTCCTTGTAGACTGGCTGGCCTTGAATTTACAGACATCACCTGCCTCTGCCCCCCAAATTCTGGGATTAAAGGCGTGTGCTACCACCCCCCGGCTTGCTGTCTCTCTCTCTCTTTCTTTCTTTCTTTCTTTTCTTTTTTTTTTTTTTTTTTTGGTTTTTCAAGACAGGGTTTCTCTGTGGTTTTGGAGCCTGTCCTGGAACTAGCTCTGTAGACCAGGCTGGCCTCAAACTCACAGAGATCCTCCTGCCTCTGCCTCCCAAGTGCTGGGATTAAAGGCGTGCGCCACCACCGCCTGGCTCTTTCTTTCTTTTTTTAAAGACATCTCTGTGCATAGCTCAGACTGCCATCACACTTCTTATATATCCTAGATTGTTCTCAAATTCACAAGCTTCCTGCTACTGTCTCTTGAGTGCTGGGATTGGAAAAAATGTATCATGCAATCCTGGCTGACCTGTAATTCTCTATTCAGACAAAGTGTCCTGGAATTTAGAAGGATCCTCTTTCCTCTACCTCCTGAGTGCTGAGATTAAATGTATGCCACCATGCCCAGAAGAAAGAAATATTTCAGAAAAGGGAGAGGTGGTTGATATAAGGGAAAATCTACGGGTAGAAATAAAAACAGACTGGAAGGTTTGTGATTCAGAGAATAGATAGTAATATAAAATATTCTATAACCCCCACATCTTTTTGTCGTTTCCATTTCCCCTGCAGATTTCTGATTTTCTTTGATGATGGTTATGCCTCCTATGTCACTCAGTCAGAACTGTATCCCATTTGTCGACCACGTAAGTGTTCCTGTACTCTTCCTCAACTCTGATTTTCTCTTCTACTTTGTCTTTCTTAAAATGGTCACCTGAAAAGTCTGAATTTTGTTTTGGTGTTGCAGTTTGTTTGCAGATACAACATTGTTGGTTAACTTATAGATAGCCCGTTATAGCCAGAGTGGGCACTAGAAGGTTCTGGCTTCCATTAGCATCTGACAGATGTGCTTTGATTTCATTTCTAAGGTGTTAGGTTAAAGAAGGCTGCTGTCGTGTTTCATATTTCTGTTAGTGTTGTCTACACGGTGTTTCATGTTACAGCTGTGTGCACACATGCACATGTGCGCAGGCCAGAGGGCAAATTTGGGTGTTGCTCCTAAGGTGCTGTTTCCTTCTTTGGTTGTCTTGTTAATGTCTTATTTTATTTGTATGAATGTTTTGCTTGCATATATTTGACTACGTGCATTTGAATCCTCTGGGACTGGAGTTAAAACTGGTTCTAAGCTGTCAGAGGAGTGCTAGGAATTGGATTGTCACTGGCATTTCAAGTGCACACGCCCGTGGCATGTTTTTTATGTATATCCTAGGGGTTAAACTCAGATCTTCATGGTTGTGAATTGGGCACATTACCCACTGTGCTATCTCCCCAGCCATATATATATATATATTTTTTTTTTTTTTTTTTTTTTTTTTTTTTGGTTTTTCGAGACAGGGTTTCTCTGTAGCTTTTGTGCCTGTCCCGGAACTAGCTCTTGTAGACCAGGCTGGCCTCGAACTCACAGAGATTCACCTGCCTCTGCCTCCCAAGTGCTGGGATTAAAGGCATGCGCCACTACCGCCCGGCCTTTATAATTTTTTATTTTGCTTATTTTTTGAGGCAGGGTTTCTCTGTGTAGTCCTGACTGTCCTAGAACTGTCTATCATAGACCAGGTAGCCCTGAACGTACAGCAATCCACTTGCCTCTCCCTTCCACACTTTACTTATTTTTAATCTCTCTGTGCAGTGCCTGTGCACTCATCCATTGAGGCCAGGTGTGAGGACGTCTGATGTCTTCTGTTACTCACTCCCTTATTGTCTTGAAATACAATCTCGCACTGAAACAAACCATTTTGGCTAGGCTGGCTGGCCAGAGAGTTCCCAGGATATACCTGTACCTACTCCCTAATGCTGGAGTTCCAGGCCACCATGTCTTTTTCACATAGGTGTTAAGGTGAAGAATACATTTCTGATAATCATTGTTAGCATGGAAATAAGCATATTCCAGAGTCTTTTGTTTTTGAGTTTTAAACTTTATGTTTGCATGTTCACATGTGTTTGGGCATGTCTGTAGGCCAAAGTTGACGTTGGATGCCTTCCACGGTTGCTGTCTACTTTGCTTATTATCTATTGAGGCATGGTTATTGGCTAAACTTGCCAATTCCAGCTAGCAGGTTGCTTTGAGGATATCCTATTTCTGCCCAAATGTTAGGATTATAGGCAGTCACCACACCAGCTCAGCTTTTACATGGATTCTGTAAATCTGAACTCTGATCATCGTATGCTCTACCTGCCGAGCTCTGTCTCCTGGAGTCCAACTGCCTTTGAAATCCCTGTATAGCCAAGGCTTTTCTCGAACTTCTAATCCTACTGCCTCCATCTCCCACATGCTGGGATTATAGGTTCATGCCACCATTTATGGCTATATTTTGTGTTTGTATTTGTGTGTGTGTGTATTTGTGCACATGTGTGTGCACGCACACATGCCAGAAGTTCATGTTGGGTTTCTTATTACATTGTTTTCCACCTTACGTTTTGAGACAGGATGTCCCACTGAACTCGTGACCAGTTGGCTAGGTTAACCTGGCTAGCTGGCTGGCTGGCTTGTGGGTAGGTAGGCCATCATATTCTTTGACTCTTCCCCCAGCAGTACTAGGGTTGCAGGTGTGTGCTATGGTACCTAGTCTGTTGATGGAGGTTTCTGATCCCGCCTGGTCCCGCAGCTGTTCAGTTCCAAAGAAACACACAGAGGTCCACATTAATTTTAAACTGGTTGGCCTATTAGCTCAGACTTCTTATAACTCTTATAACTTACATTAGCCCATAATTCTTGTCTGGTTAGCCACGTGGCTTGGTACCTTTTATCAGCGAGGCAGTCTAATCTTGCTTCCTCTGTGTCTGGATGACAACTGCAGACTGACTCTTTCCTCTTCCCTGAATTCTCCTGTTCCGTTGCCCTGCCTCTACTTCCTGCCTGGCTACTGGCCAATCATCATTTTATTAATACAATATAAGTGACAGGGTACAAGACCATTGTCCCACAGCACTAGTCTATGTAGGTGCTGGGTGTCTGAGTCAGGCTGGAGGATGGCTCAGTTAAGAATATACTTGATGCTCTAGCACAACTGTCTAATTCCAGTTCCAGGAGACCCAATGCCCTCCTCTGACCTTTTTGGGAACTGCACATATGTGATGCAGAGAAATGCATGCAGGCAAAGCACTCATACCTAAAGTAAAAAGAGCGAATCTTTAAAAGAAGTAAGATTTTAGGAGAATAGAACAGAGCTGGTAGGATGTGCTGTAGCTTAGTGGTGGAAAGCTCCTCCTTTGCATCTGGAAGGCTGTAGGTTTGATCACCAACACTGATTAGAAAAAACAAAGATAGTGATGTGTTGAGACCCTGCCTCAGAAAAGAGGGAAGGACTGATGGTTTATTTCATAGTAGTTTACATCAGCCAGCCAGTGGGGAGCTCCAGAAAGTGCAACGTTTATTTGTTTTATGCAAATCGCTTAGGCAGTGTATGACTTACTTAGTATTTACTTAATTTGTATATACATTTGCACTTTGGGTTCCATATTTAAGATGGCCTTGGTTTTGTTTCCCTTGAGGTTATGATTTCATTTTTTTTTCTCTCTCAAAACTTTAAATGTGTCTAATAGTTCCTTGCCAACTGTCCTTCCCTTCCAAGACATGTTTCTGCCCTCAACTCTGCTTTTTTCCTTTGGATAGTGAAAAAAACATGGGAGGACATAGAAGACAGCTCCTGCCGAGACTTCATAGAGGAATATATCACTGCCTATCCAAATCGCCCCATGGTACTTCTCAAAAGTGGCCAGCTCATCAAGACGGAGTGGGAAGGCACATGGTGGAAGTCTCGAGTTGAAGAGGTGGATGGCAGCCTAGTCAGGATCCTCTTTCTGGTAATGTTCTTTCAAAGAAGGGTTCATTGGGTAAAGCCACTTACTGCCAAATCCAGGAATCAGAAGTGACTCGTGGCATATATTCACAAGAGAGAGGATTGATTCTACCCTGAACCTGTTTCTTTGCCTTCCTTTCATCCTGCCTCCCAGGATGACAAAAGATGTGAGTGGATCTATCGAGGCTCTACACGCCTGGAACCCATGTTCAGTATGAAGACATCATCAGCCTCTGCACTGGAGAAGAAGCAAGGGGGACAATTCAGAACCCGTCCTAATATGGGTATGTCCTAAAAGTACCTAGGGAACAGACAAGGCAGACAGGCCAATAGATGTAACGAGTCTTTTCTGTCCTGCCAGCCAGCTCCCAAATAACAACACAGAGACGACTTATTAATTATGAAAACTTGGCCTTTAGTGTAAGCTTGTCTCAACTAGCTCTTACAACTTAAATTAACCTATATTATTAAATCTATATTCTTGCCATTTGGCATTACCTCTCTTTCATCTCGTATCTCCCATTTCCTGTGTGTCTGGCTTGTGGCTCCCTTTCTTCTTCCCAGAGTCCTTTCCAGAAGTCCCACCTAACCTCTTCTTCCTGCCTAGCTATTGGCCATTCAGCTCTTTATTAAACCAGTCAGAAGTCACCTTGGCAAAGATAGATCTTTACAATGTAAACAAATATTCTGCAACAAAGATTACATATGGCAGCTGTCCTCTTATTTACCAGAACAATACTTGTAACTCATTGGCTAGAGATAAGTGTCCAGGATGTTTCATTAGTGATGGTGGATTTGTGGAGAGGCCTCCACATTGCTATGGCTCTGATTCTTTCTGAATACCCACATAAGGTCAGGTGGTTGGCGCACACCTGTAAGCAGTTCCAAGTAGTTGGGAGAGAAAGGAGGTAGATTCAGAATTCAAGATCATCTTTGACTACATAGTTTGAGGCCGGCCGTGTTTACATGTGACCATGCCTCAAAACAATTTTTTCCCAAAACCAGCATATACTAGTATACTTTCTTATGGTGTAAATAATGAAACAGACAATCTTAACACTTGGAAAATTGCCAGTGCCACTTTTGTATGTGAATACAGGTGTGCACATGCATGTTACAGTGCATGTGGTTAGAGGACATCTCAGGTTTAGACTCAGCTTCCTGCTGGGCATTTAATCTCTGCGCCGAAGGCAGGTGGGGTCTGTGAGTTTGAAGCCAGCCTGGTCTACAGGGCAAGTTCCAGGACAGTCAGGACTACACAAAGAAACCGTAAGGCCTCATCTTCCTTTGTTTGAGGCAAGTTCTGTTTATTTGGGGCATCTGCAAGGATGTCTGCCCTGTAGGCTTCTGGGGCAATTCCATATTCTCTACCTCCCATTTCCCTGCAGGAGCACTGGGATTATAGACACATGCTACTATGCCTAGCTTTACATAGGTCTGAAGATTTGAATACAGCCTCGTGTTTGTACCCCTGAGCCACCTCTGCATTTCTTTGCTGCATTTTTATATTGCGTTAGTTGATAGAGTGTGATAAGGATGTCTGACACAGCTGTTATCCTCCTAATTGTAATTTTTGTTTTTCCTGTAGGTGCTGTGAGGAGCAAAGGTCCTGTTGTTCAGTATACACAAGACCTAACTGGCACTGGAACCCAGTTCAAGCCCCTGGAGCCCCCACAGCCCATAGCTCTACCTGCCCCACCTGCCCCACCTGCCCCACCCCTTGCCCCTCCTCTATCCCCACAAGCAGGTGACACTGAGTGAGTGCTCATCCTCCTTTTTACTTTGAATATTTTTCCCTCCCATACATAACTTCTGAATCCTTAACTGTGTGTTCTCTTTTCAACCTCCCTAGAAGCTTAGAAAGCCAACTTGCTCAGTCACGGAAGCAAGTGGCCAAAAAGAGCACGTCATTTCGGCCAGGATCTGTGGGCTCTGGCCATTCCTCCCCTACTTCACCCACACTCAGTGAAAATGTGCCTGCTGGGAAACTTGGGATTAACCAGACATACAGGTAAGGAAACCTCAGACACTGTAGGCAGCTTGACAACGTGGGCTACTATACAGGGTCCTGAAGGGAGAAACTTGGACTTGAAAAGAATAGTTAAATTAAGCCAGCTGGTGGCAGCACATGCCTTTAATCCCAACATCTGGGAAGCAGAGGCAGGTGGATCTCTGTGAGTTCAAGGCCAACCTGGTCTACAAAGCTACAACCAGGACTGCCAGAGCTGTTACACAGAGAAGCCCGTCTTGAAAAAAAAAAAAGAATAGTTAAATTAGAAACCCCATGCCTGAGAAACACACTGTCACCAAAACTTGTTGAGTGTGTTACCATCATCTTTCCTTGACTCCTAGGAATAGCAAGAATGTTTAGGATACAAAACACAGATGTTTTGGTAAAGGACTAGACTCTGCTCTGTAACAGATTTGTTAGGGAAAGTCCTGTTGAACTAGAGACGTGATCTGTCCATGAAGAATAGGCAGGGGGGTTCGCTGTCTAGGTTTGTTTGCCAAGAGAAAGGATCTGACATTAATCTTTAGCATCCAGAGCACAGCTGCCTGTGTGCATTGGCACACACCTGTAATCCCAGCTCTTAGAAGGGTAGAGCAGAAGATTGGGAGCTGCAGGATACCCTGTCTCAAAAAAAAAAAAACAGCACTCTGAAAGATGAGAGAGGTGGCTTAGCCAGCTGGAGGAGGGATGATTATACAGCAGAGAGTCCTGTTATCTTCTGGCCTGTTATCTTATGATCTGATATTTCGCATTTAATTTGCAGATCACCTTTGGCCTCAGTAACATCTGCCCCAGCACCTGCAGCTCCTCCAGCCTTCCATGGGATGTTAGAGCGGGCACCGGCTGAGCCTTCCTACCGAGCCCCCATGGAGAAGCTTTTCTACTTACCTCATGTCTGCAGTCACACTTGTCTGTCCCGGATCAGACCCATGAGGAATGAACAGTTCCGGGGCAAGAACCCCCTGTTAGTACCGCTGCTGTATGACTTTCGGAGGATGACAGCCCGGCGAAGAGTTAACCGCAAGATGGGCTTTCATGTTATCTATAAGACACCCTGTGGTCTCTGCCTTCGGACAATGCAGGAGATAGAACGCTACCTTTTTGAAACTGACTGTGACTTCCTGTTCCTGGAGATGTTCTGTTTGGATCCATATGTTCTTGTTGACAGAAAGTTTCAGCCCTTTAAGCCTTTTTACTATATTTTGGACATCACCTACGGCAAGGAAGATGTTCCCCTGTCCTGTGTTAATGAGATTGACACCACTCCCCCACCCCAGGTGGCCTACAGCAAGGAGCGCATCCCTGGCAAGGGTGTTTTCATTAACACGGGCCCTGAATTCCTGGTCGGCTGTGACTGCAAGGATGGGTGTCGGGATAAGTGAGTTGGGGTATAGGGTTTGCTCTTTCTGCCTCCAGCTTTATTACACTTGCCTTCCTTTTTCTTTTCTTTTTTTCTTTATATTGCTTTCCTATCTTCCTTTCCTTCCTGTTTCAGCTACAGTTCTGCTAAGGCCACCAGGAAAGTTATGATATAGAGACTGAGTGTGGTGGCACATACCTGTAATTTTAGTATTTGAGAAGCATCTTGAATTGTGGGCCAGCCTGGGCTTTATAATAACTCTGAAGGTTGGGCTACATAGTGAGGTCTTTTTATAAATAACAGAGAAGAAAGTATTGAGGTAAGGAGGCCGAAGTCTGATGCGGCCTCCTGTAACCCTGGGAATGTTTGTTTCTTTCTCTGTTCCTGTCCCTACTTGCTCTGCTTTTGTCTCTCCTTTTCTTAAACTTTGGTCCCTTTGTTCAATCCTTTGATCCTCTGTATCTACTCTACACTTTTTGTATCTTCCTCTTTTTTCTAAACAAAAACTGAAATTGCAATACCTTTTACCTTATCCCCATCCTTGGTTGTTGTTTGGTGTTTACTCAGAGCATGAAGGACTTCTGGGAGTCCCTAGTGACTGAGGGTGAGACCTCGAATGTCCCTGGTCAGAGGGTTTCCATAACCAAGGTCTGCTTAAAAGTGGCTTTTAGCTTCTCCTGGCTTCTTCATGCTTAGCGTGACCTGTGGACGTTAGAGCCTTTCTTCGTGTCTCACATTTCAGGCAATCCTTGCCAGCAAGGTCACTCACTCAGCAAGTACACCTCCTTGTCACACATGGGCACCTTGGGCATAGCAGAGCCTGGCGTGAGACAAGTGGCTGCTTCTAGGAGATTTTAAGTAATGGACTCTGGACTCAGTTTTGCTTTAAGACAGTCTCATGTAGCTCAGGCTGGCCCAGAACTCATGTAGCTGAGGATAATTATCTCCTGACCCTCCTACCCCATGTCTCAAATGGTGGATTACAGATGTGCATCGCCGTGTCCAGCTGCCGTCCTTCATGTATCTCATAGTCACGGCTCTGTTGACAGGCTTTTCTCTTTACAGATCCAAATGTGCCTGCCATCAGCTAACTATCCAAGCCACAGCGTGCACCCCAGGGGGTCAGATCAACCCTAATTCTGGCTACCAATACAAAAGATTAGAAGAATGTCTGCCCACAGGGTAAGTGGTTGGATTGGTGATAGATTGCCTCAGATAGAGGAGTACGTTCTGGTTTTTCTATTTGTAAGAACCATTGGAAACCTGAGGATTATTCTGAGGGTGGTAATACATGCTAGGACTCCAAAATAATGCGAACCATTGCCTTTGGGAGGCTGAAACAGGAAGATAGTTTCAGACCCATCAGTCCAAAATCCTGTCTCAAAAAAAAAACAGAATTAGATAGTTTCTAATAATTTTCTTTTTTTTAAATATTTATTTATTATGTATACAATATTCTGTCTGTGTCTATGCCTGCAGGCCAGAAGAGGGCACCAGACCCCATTGGTGGTTGTGAGCCACCATGTGGTTGCTGGGAATTGAACTCAGGACCTTTGGTAGAGCAGGCGAAGCTCTTAACCTCTGAGCCATCTCTCCAGCCCTCTAATAATTTTCTTATATAGAAAACTTAGAAGGATGTGATAGGATTGCTTGATTTCTAGGCTGGGTTGGACTATGCCCCAAGACCTTGTATGGAAAAAAAAAAAAAGAACTAGCACTAGCAAGATGTTCAACATTAAGAACACTTGTTCTTGTAAATACTTGGATTTGACTCCCAGTACCTACATGGTCACTTCAGTTCCAGGGGATCTGATACCCTTTTCTAATCTCCAAGGACATCACGCACACACGTGATATGCAGACATGCATGCAAGCAAAACATACATATAAGATTAACTTTTTTTTTAAATATTTATTTATTATGTATACAATATTCTTTCTACGTGTATGCCTGCAGGCCAGAAGAGGGCACCAGATCTCATTACAGGTTGTGAGCCACCATGTGGTTGCTAGGAATTGAACTCAGGACCTTTGGAAGAGCAGGCAATGCTCTTAACCGCTGAGCCATCTCTCCAGCCCCCTAAGATTAACTTTTTAAAAGAACCATTAATTTCATAGCTGTGTAAATGTTCTGCTTATGACTTACTCTAACAAGTGAAATGTATTCAAAGAGAGTAGAAAAACAAATTATAGGTCTTTGTTAACTTAAAATGAAAAGTTACACCAGGCATTGGTTGTGCACACCTTTAATCCCAGCACTTGGAAGGCAGAGGCAGGCAGATCTCTGGGTTCGAGGCCAGCCTGGTCTATATAGCGAGTTCCTGGGCAGGCTCCAAAGCTGTCCAGGCTCCAAAATCCTGTTTGGGGGAGGAGGCAAGGTTATCCTTAGCTACATGATGAGTTTAAAGCTAGCCAGCCTGCTCTACATAAGACCTTATCACAAAAAATGTAGAAATTTTAAAATATCAAAATACATTTTGGAAATGTTTAGTTTGTCACTGCAGTGGGTTAAATGAGAATGGTTCCCACAGATTCTTAAGTTTGAATGCTTGGTTGAACTATTTGGTAAGGATTAAGAGGTGTGGCCTTCTTAGAAGTGGTGTGTCACTAGAGGTGAGCGTTGAGGTTTTAGAAACTCACACCATTCCAGTTAGAGCTCTGTCTGCCTCATACTTGTGGGTCAGATTTATGCTCTCAACTACTACTCCAGTGCCGTGTCCCACGATGAGGGTCATGGACTCACCATATAAATCACAAGTCCCCAACTAAATGCTTTCTTTTTTTGTTTTTTGAGATATGGTTTCTCTGTGTAGCTTTGGAAGCTATCCTAGGACTCCCTCTGTAGACCAGGCTAGCCTCAAACGCACAGAAATCTGTCTATCTCTGCCTACTGAGTCCTGGGATCAAAGGTATGGGCCACCACCACCCAGCAGATGCTTTCTTTTATACGTTGAGTTGGTCTTGGTGTCTCTTCACAATAGTAGAACAATAACTAAGACAACCACTTAAATACATACCCAATCCTATAAGAAACAGACTCTTTGATTCTTTTTTGAGGCAGGTCTCTCTCTGTAGCCCAGGCTGCCATTGCAACTTGCCATCTACCTGGCTTGGCCTACCAAGTGCTAGGATTATGAGCCTGCATCACCATACCTGGTAAAAATATTTCTGAATAAGCACGAATATATGTCACTCAGCTACTTAAAACTATCAATTGCCCACTGCACACATGGATTTCATTCTGTTCTTTACTCTAACCCCCTTTTTGTTTCTTTCCCTATAAAGTTATGTGAAGGGTGTTTATATCCGTTACTTCCCAGAGCCATTTCTCTGTATTGCGGCCTACCTCTGAGGCTGTGGTGCAGGAGATGTGCTCTTGGCACCTTGCGCTGCTTTTGTTTGGCTGCCTGTCTTCAGCCTGTCCCTGGACACTTGGAAAGTAGGCCTTTTCCCCCTGGGGGTTTGATTGGTTTGTTTTGTTTGTTGGACGTGGCCTCACAGTCCAGGCCGGCTTCCAACTGATTATATAGCCAAGGATGACCCTGAACTCCTGGGCCTCCTGCCTCCACTTTAAGTGTTGGAATTACAGGCCTTTGCCACACAGCTGGCACATAGGACGTTTTCATTCCCTTGCATTTGCAGCACCACATTTATGCTTTCTATAAGTATTTCTAACAACTTTGTAGACTCAGTTTTGGGTTTTTTTTTTTTCCTCCCTGGGTACTAGAGCCCTGTTGGTCTTCCACACACATTGTATCACCAGACACTGCGTAGCACAGTGCTACAGAGTAGCCACTGAAAGACATTTGAAGAATGAGTAGCTGATGATACTTAGTGTAGTTACTCTGAAGTTTCCTGTGCTGGTAACAAAGACACTTTTTCATTTTCTTCTTTTTTTTTCTTTTTTTTTTTTTTTGTGAGAGCTTTATTTCATTTTACAGATTACAGTCCATCATGAAAGGAAGTCAGTACAGGAACTCGAGGCAGGAATTTGGAGCAGGAACTTAAGGAGAGACCACGGAGGAACATTGCCGGCTGGCTTGTTCTCTGTGGTTCTCCCTGCTTGCTTTCTTACATAGTGGAAGAACCCCTGCCCAGTGTGCTGAACCCTCGCGTATTTACCATTGATCAGGAACATGTTCTATAGATCTAACTGCGGGCCAGGAACAAAGATACTTACACAAATAGCTCCCTAATTCCCAATAGACTCTTAGGCATGGCTGGAGCGCTCTGTGTAGACAAGGGCAGCCCCAGATACACATTCCTACTTCACTTCAGGAGTGCTGGAATGCTCCACTACGACCAGCAGGCTTTTAAGGACACATAGGGTAAAACTTTGTTCCTGGGAAGGTGCTGATCTATGATATTCAGTTTCTGGAAATTGCTTGGACTATAGGTCTGTGTGTTCATTTTCCTCTCTGTGTATTAACAGTAACCCCACTCATGTTTTAAAAACATAAAATTTTAACTTTTATTTTTGTGATACTGGGAGTCAAGCCCAGATCTTTTAATATTAGGCAAGAGCACTTCCACTGAGCTACATCCACAGTCTCAACAGTCCTTTGTAAAGTTGGGGGAAAAAATACGCCTTTATTTTTTATTGTTAATTGTTTTAGATTTACATTTGCTCTGTGTATGTGTGTGTGTGTGTGTGTGTGTTTACATACATTCAGGCATGTGCTCTCTGTGTGTGCCTGTTGGGTCCCCTAGAACTGGGCTTACAGATGGTTGTAAGCCACCATGTGGGTGCTGGAAACTGAATGCAGGTCTCCTGCAAGAGCAGCAAGTGCTCTTAACTGCTGACCAGTCTCTCTAGCCCCTTGTTTTGATATTTTGAGACAGGGTCTCAGGTAGCCCAAGCTGACTTTGAACTCTGTATTACCAGGGATGACCTTAAATTTCTGAAACTCCTGCATCCACCTTTCAAGTGCTAGTATTGCAAAGCTCGGTTATATAGGGATAGTCTGAGCTATATTGTCTATTGGGTTTCTAGGATTTATCGTATGGGCCCACCATATGTTTACAGTAGGACTAGACGTGGACACACGAGCTTACTTTACATCAGCCACAATAATTATTGCTATTAGCTATACCACCACCACTGGTTTATGCAGTGAGTCATGGGAGTGCTACATGTTCGTGGAGGCCAGAGTTCATCTTGTGTCTTCACTCTCTATGCCCTTTCCCCAGACAGGGTTTCACTATGTGGCCCTGGCTGTCCTAGAACTTTCTGTAAACTGGCTTCAAACTCATAGAGATAGAGTTCTGGGATTAGAGGTGTGCACCACCATTGCCCAGCTTTTTTTTTCTTCTCCTCTTCTTCCTCCTTTCCCCCCACTGACCCTGAAGCTCACCAGTTTGTCTAGGCCCCAGGAGTCCTCCTGTCTCTGCCATCACTGGGATTACAGGCCTACATCACCACACCCAGCTTTTATAGCATTGCTGATTCTGAACTCAGATTCTCATGCTTGCATTTACAGTAAGCACCATATACGAGCTGAGCCATCTCCCCAGCCTTACTAGTTATACTTTTTGTTTTTGTTTTGATTTAGATTTTTGAGACCAGATCTCTTGTCCTCGACCTCAATGTGTAGACCAGGCTGGCATTGAACTCAGAGAGATCTACCTACCTGTGCCTCCCGTGATACTCTTTTCTTCAGTTGTTGAACTGGAAATGTGAGGTCAGAATTGCTATGACCTTTCTTATTGTTGTACTCAAAGTGTTTGACACATCTCTGGTTTAATATGTTGTTTACTGACAGCTTGGCATGGTAGTGCATGGGTTTGAGGCCAGCCTGGTCTACATAGTGAGTTCTAGGACAGCCTTAAAAAAGCATTGTACAGGGCTGGAGAGATGGCTCAGAGGTTAAGAGCATTGCCTGCTCTTCCAAAGGTCCTGAGTTCAATTCCCAGCAACCACATGGTGGCTCACAACCATCTATAATGAGATCTGGTGCCCTCTTCTGGCCTGCAGGCAGGCATGGAAGGAATGTTGTATACATAATAAATAAATAAATATTTTAAAAAACTGAACGAAGAAAAAGCATTGTACAGAAATTACAGTTTTTCTATTTTAGTATATGTGATGTTGGCTTCTGCTTATCTTCTGTACCTATTTCTAGATGTCAGTTTTTTGTTACATTTATGGGGTGGGAAGAGGTATGTAGAGATCAGAGGACAACTTACAGGAGTGTGTGTCTCTCTCTCTCTCTCTCTCTATCTCTGTGTGTGTGTGTGTGTGTGTGTGTGTGTGTACCATGTAGGATCCAGGTATTGAATTCAGGCAATGGGTGCTTCTACCCACTGAGCAAGCTCACCAGCTCCTCTACTTCTATTAGTTGAAATAATCTATAAATTTATAGCTGCAGTCTGATTCACCTCATTGTTTGCTTATCTTTTCTCCAAGGAGTGGAGATAGTCACATTGTGCACTATACTATGGGCATTCTGACGGTCACATTGTGCACTATACTATGGGCATTCTGACGATTCTGACGGTCACATTGTGCACTATACTATGGGCATTCTGACGGTCACATTGTGCACTCTACTATGGGCATTCTGACGGTCACATTGTGCACTCTACTATGGGCATTCTGACGGTCACATTGTGCACTCTACTATGGGCATTCTGACGGTCACATTGTGCACTATACTATGGGCATTCTGACGGTCACATTGTGCACTATACTATGGGCATTCTGACGGTCACATTGTGCACTATACTATGGGCATTCTGACGGTCACATTGTGCACTATACTATGGGCATTCTGACGGTCACATTGTGCACTCTACTATGGGCATTCTGACGGTCACATTGTGCACTCTACTATGGGCATTCTGACGGTCACATTGTGCACTCTACTATGGGCATTCTGACGGTCACATTGTGCACTATACTATGGGCATTCTGACGGTCACATTGTGCACTCTACTATGGGCATTCTGACGGTCACATTGTGCACTATACTATGGGCATTCTGACGGTCACATTGTGCACTCTACTATGGGCATTCTGACGGTCACATTGTGCACTATACTATGGGCATTCTGACGGTCACATTGTGCACTCTACTATGGGCATTCTGACGGTCACATTGTGCACTCTACTATGGGCATTCTGACGGTCACACTGTGCACTATACTATGGGCATTCTGACGGTCACATTGTGCACTATACTATTTTGAACATCTCTGTGAATCACTTTCCCTTCTGAATTATGTCCCTGGTCTTATTTGCAAATGAGTCCAAGAACATGGGTGGCTCATTCTCTAAATCTAGTCACTTAGGTCATTCCCTACTTCATAATCTTTACTCATGACAGGTTTTACGGCTTTTAGTACTCTAGTGACTGTCATTGATTTTATTCTACCTTCCTAGGGTTTATGAGTGTAACAAACGCTGCAAATGTGATCCAAACATGTGCACAAATCGGTTGGTGCAGCATGGACTACAGGTTCGACTACAGCTATTTAAGACACAGAACAAGGGCTGGGGTATCCGCTGCTTGGATGACATTGCCAAAGGCTCTTTTGTCTGTATCTATGCAGGTTAGTAATGAAAGAAGAGGTTATTGCTCCATGGGGTTTGGGACATGATAGTTCAGAGTAAAGTTGAACATAGCAAAGTGCTACTGGGCTTGGTAGCATGTGCCTATAATCTAGGTACTCAGAAGGTGAAGGCAGAAAATTTAGGAGTTGGAGGTAGCCTGGAGTACATACACAGACTCTGCCTTAGAAAAATAGTGTTTGATGGGCATTGGTGGCATACACCTATAATCCGGGCACTTGGGAGACAGAGCCATGTGTTCAAGGCCAACCTGGTCTACAGAGCTAGTTCCAGAACCGCCAGGGCTACACAGAGAAACCCTGTCTCAAAAAAACAAAAACCCACCAAACAAACAAAAAGCATAGTGTTTGAGCAGTGAAACTGAGCTCTGAAGAACAGCATGTGCTTAGTTTGCAGGAGACACTGAATTCAGTCCTAGCACTTAGAAGAGGGACTGGACGATCTGGCGTTTAACTGAGAGTAAGAGGAGACAGGAGCTCCTCCTGTAAAGACATGCTAGGTGATGTACCTATGTAGGCGGACCAGAGAGAGTTAAAGGTGCTTCATGAAAACAGTGAAAGGGAGCCGGGCAGTGGTGGCGCACACCTTTAGTCCCAGCACTTGGGAAGCAGAGACAGGCCTCTGTGAGTTCGAGGCCAACCTGATCTAGAAAAGCTAGTTCCAGGACAGGCTCCAAAAGCTACAGAGAAACCTTGTTTCGAAATACAAACAAAGAAACAAAAAAAAAAACGGTGAAAGGGAATCAGATTTTGGCTGTTGTTGTCTCTTCAGTGAGAGACCTCATTTAGATCCCATTGTATCGTTTTCTCCTAGAGATATTTTAACATAGAAGGTCAAAGGCCAATGTGACAGGTTGTAGTGACCTTGCTTTCATGGTGAAGACAAGGGTGGCCTCCAGAGTGAGCACATAGTACAGGGTTTGCCCTCTGGGTAGGGTCACTGATAAAAACCTTTCAATTCTCTTCATTCTCAGGCAAAATCCTGACAGATGACTTTGCAGACAAAGAAGGCCTGGAGATGGGTGATGAGTACTTTGCAAATCTGGACCACATTGAAAGTGTGGAGAACTTTAAGGAAGGATATGAGAGTGATGTCGGCAATTCCTCTGACAGCAGTGGGGTGGACATGAAGGACCAGGAAGATGGCAACAGTGGTTCCGAGGACCCTGAGGAATCCAATGACGACAGCTCTGATGATAACTTCTGTAGGGATGAGGACTTCAGCACCAGTTCAGTGTGGCGTAGCTATGCTACCCGAAGACAGACCCGGGGTCAGAAGGAGAATGGGCTGTCTGAGATGGCTTCCAAGGATTCCCGCCCCCCAGACCTTGGACCTCCACATGCTCCTATACCTCCCTCAGTATCTGTAGGGGGCTGCAAACCACCTTCATCTGAGGAGACTCCCAAGAACAAGGTGGCCTCGTGGCTGAGCTGCAATAGTGTCAGTGAAAGTGGATTTGCCGACTCTGATAGCCGTTCCTCCTTCAAGACTAGTGAAGGTGGAGGAGGCCGGGGAGAGGCTGAGAAGGCCTCTACCTCAGTATTGAGCTTCAAGGATGAAGGAGACACTAAGCAGACTAAGAAAGAGGTAAGAAAGGACTGAACATGCTTTTTTTTGTTTTCTTTTTTTCGGGACAGGGTTTCTCTGTGTAACAGTCATAACTGTCCTGAAACAAGCTCTTGTAGACCAGGCTGGCCTCGATCTGCTTACCTCTGCCTCCTGTGTGCTGGGATTATAGATGTGCACCACCACTACCCAGCTGGATGAACACTCTTGAGAGCAGCCACCCCTCCCCAAGGAAAACTTGTGCTTTTTAATGCATGGTTCTGAAGTTTTAAAGCCACGTCTGGTGATGGCCATCCTAGCTGGAGGACTCCCAGGACAGTGTAAGGTGTCGCATGGCAAAGTCAGGGAACATGTGTCTATGTTAAGAGCAGTGCCTTTTAACCTTGGTACAAATGGAGATTGAGGTGGGGGGGCCACCTCGGTCAAGACTCCATCTCAAACCCAAAGCAATAAATAACTGAAATAGTTAGGGTTTGTTTCATTTTGTTTTTCATTACTGTTTTTAGATAGGATTGCACTACAAGTATATCTTTGATATTGAAACATTCCCCATTACAGGTAGTAAAACTGTTGGGTCCATGGAACACTGTGCTTGCAATACTGTTCCCTGTGTTATGTTAGTGGGAAAGATTAAAGGACCTTGCCAGGGGAGTATACTGATGAGAATGATTATTGCTGTTAGGTTACAGAGTGCTTTCCCCACAGCACCCCTCTTTAGTGTGCCTCTTTACTGCCTTATGCTAATGTTGTCTTTGGAAATCTTTTGTTACCTTGGGCCATGAAAGCATTTAACCCTTCCCTTGTTCCTTCCCAGGACCCGGATGACCGAAACAAGACGTCAGTGTAAGTGCTTGCTTTTGGACTGTGCTGAGTCTGCCTTCTCCTTTCACACTTACAAGAGAAACAGCCAGTAACTTGACTCCTCTCATTCTTTGCCCTTCCTATCAGAGTTACTGAAAGCTCTCAGAATTATGGACACAATCTTCCTATGAAGTCTGAAGGGCTTCGCCGACCATCTAGTAAAACTTCTGTGCCCCAAAGCCGGCGACTTGTGGCTTCTACTCAGTCAAACCATGATGTGAGTGCCTTCTCTTTTATTTAGTCCAAGTAAAGGAACATGTAGTAGCCTCACCTCAAATCATTCACTAGAATAACTATCAGTTAAGTCTCTTCTTAATTCTTTGGTCTTGACTTTTCTACCTTGTTCTCCGACATCTAACCATCATCATCTTGCAGTTGCCATAGCCCATTTTGCCAAATCCTAGGTAAAAGCAAGAACTTGAAGCAGCCTTTCTTCCCAGTAGCTCTTCTTCCCTCTCCACCATTGTCTCCCCAGGACATCTTGACACTGTCCAGCAGCACAGAAAGCGAGGGGGAAAGTGCAACCAGCCGAAAGCCCACTGCTGGCCAGACTTCAGCCACAGCCGTTGACAGTGATGACATCCAGACCATTTCTTCTGGCTCTGAAGGCGATGACTTTGAGGACAAGAAGACCTCATCCGGTAGTCTGAAAATGTTTGGGGAGTAGTAGGAAGAAGCAGGAAAGTCGGGAACATTTGTTGTTGTTTGGTTTTTCCAGACAGGGTTTCTCAGCTATGGATCCTGTCCTGGAACTAGCTCTGTAGACCAGGCTGGCCTCGAACTCACAGAGATCCGCCTGTCTCTGCCTCCTGAGTGCCAGGATTGAAGGCGTGCACCACTCACACCTGACTAGTGATTTAGGGTCTTAGCCTGAGATCTAGCCTAGCATATTGCTATTCCTGACCTGAGCAGGCTGGGTTAAACAAAAGATAGGAGATCTGATCATGAGTTGGTATAGGTCTCACACACCCTTTTTTTTTTTTTTTTTTTTTTTTTTTTTTTTTTTTTTTTTTTTTTTTTTTTGCTTTTCAGGTCCAGCAAAGCGCCAGGTGGCAGTAAAATCAACCCGAGGTTTTGCTCTTAAATCAACCCATGGGATTGCTATTAAATCAACCAACATGGCTTCTGTGGACAAGGGGGAGAGCGCACCAGTTCGTAAGAACACACGCCAGTTCTACGATGGTGAAGAATCTTGCTACATCATTGACGCCAAGCTTGAAGGCAACCTAGGCCGCTACCTCAATGTAAGACTCTTGACCACTTCTAAGTGCAGGGTTGTGTATGCCATTGCTCTCAAATTCCTAATTCTTTAAAGATATTATACAAACCCACTTTTGCTTATAAGTTGATTTCAAAGAATAAGGTAGCTTTCTTTCAAAACACCACTGATGTGCAGTGGGGGTAGAGATATCACTTTCTTGTAATTCTCACAAAGCCAGACGTTTCCTTGGTCAAGTGACTGTCATCTTTGCACTACAGCATAGTTGCAGCCCCAACTTGTTTGTCCAGAATGTCTTCGTGGATACTCATGATCTTCGCTTCCCTTGGGTGGCCTTTTTTGCCAGCAAGTAAGAGGGATAATGAGGAAGGGGTAAATTCCATGGAGATTCTGGGTGGGGGGACCTTCCTTTGTGGCCAGGCTTCACCTTTATCTTCTAAACTCTACTTCCAAGTGCCTATGCTACCACATCACCATCCTTTTCCCTCTTCAGGAGAATCCGGGCTGGAACAGAACTTACTTGGGACTACAACTACGAAGTGGGCAGCGTGGAAGGCAAGGAGCTGCTGTGCTGCTGCGGAGCCATTGAATGCAGAGGGCGTCTCCTGTAAAGGGAGACCCTTGGACAGGGTCTTCCTGGCTGTTGAACTCTGACCCCAGGTCTCTGGTCTAGCTACTCTCCAGTTCCTAGTAGATAGAAATGGGGATTCTGGATCAGGACTCTCCCAGTGTGGTGCTAGCAGGCACTAGGGTGGGTAGACATGGCCACTCTAGCCTCAGCCTGAGGTCCTTCTCAGATGTTCCCGTGTTCACGATTCTCATGGGCTGTATGTCTGCCGTCCCTATCCTGTGTGGTTTCGTGATGAAGATTGTGTATCTTCTCTCCTCAGTCCCCATCGTAATCTCCCAGGGAGAGGTCATTTTCCCAGTGGGCAGCTGTCTTACACCTCCATTTTACTTGTGTAATTTTTAGCAAAAAAAAAAAAGTTACATAACCACAAAGAAGGCCTAAGAAAACTATCCCCTTTCTCAGTTCTTCATAGTCTGACACACTGTCATGTTTTATTTAACCTTTAATATACTTTAATTAAAAAAAAAACCATTAACAGTACATTTTGGTCTGAAATGGTCCCTCGCCATAATGCCAGGTCCTAGCTGTAGTTCTGGCTTTATAACTGAAACTCCAAATGTTCAATAAATAAGAGAACTAGTTGCCGTTCTACTCCACGCCAGCTTGTCTTAGCTGGAGGGAGGGGAAAGAAAGGCCAGAGAAAGGAGGCAGTGACATCCTGAAACTGTGGTCCCTGGGGTAGGGTGAGAGGCATGTATACCCTCCTTCACTTAGTTAACTTGTTATAAAGGAGAAAAAGTTAAAAGTAGCTCAGCTTTCATTTTTGGCTTGAGCTAGGGTGCTTAGAAAGGTGGAACCTTGGTCCAGCTTTGGCAGAATGAGGCCCAGAGATGGGACAGTAAGGCACAACCCTGGCTTAAAGTCAGGGAGTCAAAGGCGAACAGCTCCAAATTCTTCAGAATAAGGAATGTGAGTTTTAACTCCAACCCTCAGAGTGGAGAAAGATTTTCAGAAAGCATGAGAAAGGGTAGCCTGGAAAACAGAGAGGGTAGTCAGACCATTCCCCTCTCTAGCAGAGGATATGACCAACCTTCTCTCCCTGAGATAGGCTGGTTACAGTTAGGTGACAGACTCCTCTCCTTACGCCCTTTCTCCCCGGAGCTCAGGTGTCCCTACAGGGAAGGCTGGCTAGTTTCTTGGCTTCGTGTATTAATGTGGGGGCAGCTAGGACAATGGTTCAGTCATTCTTAGGATGATTGTTATTGAGGATGGGGTGGCCATTAGCTAGGAGCTGACTCTTCGCTCCTGCCCCAGCTGCAGCCTCCTCCCCCTCTGAGCTCTCTGTTTCTTCTCGGTCACTGCGTTCATCTTCTACCAGCTGTGAAAAGGACAAAAAGGGTTATGTATTTCCTGCTAGCCCCCAGAACCTCACACTGTTTCAGAAGCGTTACTGGCATGACAGAGTTTAGATTAGAGGGTTTGGGGTTGAGAGTGCTGAGGTCTACAAAGGGGAGGCAGCCTTCCTCACCTTTCCAGTTATGAACTTGTGGGCCATGCGCAGGATGAAGTAGGCCCAGAAGATGTGCAGCATCTGCAGCACTGCCATCATGGCGTTGAAGAAGTAATAGCCAAAGAAGGCAGGGTAGAGCTCCAGGGGGTATACCAGTGTGCAGTGTAGGATCCTGAGGAGTTAAGAGAGAGTGGTTACATGGAGCTGGGTGAAACGAGAGAGAAAGGCAAGAAGAGCCAGCTCCCTGCTCACCAGAAGGGCATGATGACCAGTCGCGTCAAGATGAAAACGATGGCGAAGACAATGAAGAGGTTATTGCAGGTGTTCTTCCAGCCCGCGTAGTTAAACATCTTGGCAGACTATAAATAGTCCATCTATCATCATGGGCCCCCGACTCTCCCGTACACATTAATTATGTGTGTGTGGTTAGCAGCACTGGCTGTGCCCTCCCACCTCAGTACCAGGAATATCTGCCCTCTCCACCCCTGGAAGACTGGAGGAACAAATGAGCCTGCAGTGGGAACTCTACTGTGAGGAAGCCTAACCTCCAGCAGGTAGTCAGAGGAGTCATGCAGAGCCAAGACGAGAGTCCCTGCTCGGACGTAGTTGGCAAACCAGGAGAAGCTGAGGAGAATGATGGTGGCCACATGGTGAATGATCTGTTCCTTAAAATCCTGCAGAAAAGATGCAGGCTTCAAGAGACTCTTCCATGTTCACTGTTCACACACACAACCCAAACTTTTGTTCCCGGTATCCCAGCAGCTCTGTCCAGATCTCTGAGAAGTCCTGATTCCAGGCCTCATCTAGCCCTTGGACTTAACTGCACAGCCTCTTCACCCACCTTCCGCTTGACGTCGGAGGCAATGCTGAAGAGCAGGGACCAGTAGAAGGAGAGTTCGATCATGTAGTACCAATACTGAGAAGGGACGATGCTCTGGGAGAGGAAAGAGTGGTGAGGGATCCCAGAACAACTAGCTCTAAGGGGCTCACCTCCAAACTCGTGCCCCTTCTAGCCCCTCAAGATACTCTGTTGTGTGAAGAAACTCTTAATAATGGGTGTTGTGTGCTGTAGGCCACTCCTCATACCTGTATGGGGTATCCCTCCCAAACTTTCCTCAAGTCATAGAACCAGGGTTTCTGCAAAGAGATTAAAGATGTCAAATCCTATTGCTTTTCCCCATCTTGACAGAAGATGTGTCCCACATCCCAGTACTCACATCCATGATGACAGCCACGCCAGCAACAAAGGCAATTAGGTAAAACGTGAATCTCCAACTGCAAGAGGAAGCACATCTGGCTAGGCAGGAGGATCAGCAGCTTCCACTGCCCCCACACACCCTCTCAAGGGACCCTTACTCCTGTACACCACAGCCCTCTCCTCCCAGCAAGAAACAACAGAACTGTGCCACCCAGTTTCCCCCACCTGGCTTCTCGGAACTTCTTGAGAAGGCTGGGCCTGTCCTGGTTGCGGCGGCGGCGGAACCAGCGTTCTATCTGGCGGCTAGAGAGCCCACTCTGCCGAGACAAAAGCTCTACCTCCACCTAAGCATAGTGAGGCCACGACATTCAGCTGTCAAATCGGCAGTGCCCCAACTCTGCCCAACCTCACCAAGTCCTCACCTTCCAGAGCTAGCATTCTAACCCTGGCCCACCCAAACTCAGCAACTCCCCGCTCGTACCTGCTTGGGCTGCTTGCCGCTGGTCAGGTAGAAATGCTCTAAGGTGACGTTGGGAGGGGCCCGTAGTCGGGTTTTCTCCTTAACATTCAGGAGGGCAGCCAGAGGTGTAGCCACATAACTGGGGAAGGGACATGAGAGAGAGGTGTCTGGCTCCCTTGGAGCACTCCTAACCCCTAAACGGGGAGGACAAAGTACCACAAGTTCAGGCATCTTAATTTTGGGCCTCAGTTTCCCAAGTTTCCTGGCAACCCCCTTTCCTCTAGCCTCCTGGGCTGCCCACAGCCGACAAAGCTGCCTATGTTCACTATTGACCAGGCGAAGAGGAGGCGGGCACGGGGTGAGAACAACCAGCTATTGAAGGAAAGGGCTGGGGTTGCTGAGGCCTCAGGAAGACAATGGTGCCCTGGGGGAGGGCAAGCAGGCAGCAGGGACCTGGGTGCAGAGAGCACCACTGTCCAGAACTAAGTCTCAAGAGACCAACATGAAGTCTGCTAGGCTGGCCACAGTCGGAGGTGTGGGGCATGCTCACAGCTCAAAGAAGTATCGAACGACGAGAAAGACCAGGGCCAGGGGAAGTGTGATGTAGAGGTCTGAGGCTTTGGCATAGACACGTCCATCTCTGTCTTCTAGATCAGCCCAGGTTAGGTTCACGGGCAGCCATAGTCGGTCCCACCAGAAGTGGTCATACAATGTCTGGAGCATCCTAAGTGAGGGAGGGAGAAGCTAGTCAGAGCTCCGCAGGGAAGAAAAAAAAAAAGGAATGGGACTGGGACTCTGGGTTTGGCTACATGGCCCTGGAACAAACTGCTTTCCTCCACTGACTCAGTTTCCTTATCTGTAATAGGAAATCAGCAGCTTTCAAGTTCCAGCATTTACAGTTTGTTGCAACCTTAGGTGATGCTGATACCACAAAGGCCTGATCCCCTGGGGAAAAACAAAAAAAACAAACAAAAAAAAAAAACCACTCATTTCTTAATTTCTTAAGTCTTATCTTTTGGCTCTCAACCTGGAGAGAACAAGCAAGACCCAGAGAAGCAATAGTCAACAGCCAGGGAAGTCATCCAGGTTGATTGGGCGTGGTGTAACACCTTCAATCCCAGACTCAGGAGGCAGAGGGAGAGGCAGGTAGAGCCACGGTGTCCAGAACAGCCAGGGCTACATAGTGACCCTTAGCTGGCCAGCAGATCTACAGGAGAAAATGAAACAGGTACCATCCCCAAAGAACAGTGAGCATTGGCACTCCATGCCAAGGCATTCAGTCTCTTAAGTAAGGCAGAGCATGATCACTAAGACTGTTCAGAAGGGAAGTGAGAGGCACACACAGTGTCAGCGCTGAGGACAGGGTCTGCACAGCAAACCAAGACATCTGGCAAAGCGACCTATTTTCCCTCTTCCTCCTCCTCTTTCTCCTTTATTCTTTGAGACAGCACCTATGCAGTGCAGTACTGCCTCAGCAGCTCAAGCAGCCCAAGTGCTGAAATGACAAGCTCACCACCACAGCTGCCATAACCTATTTCTTTTTTTTTTTTTCTTTTTCCTTCAAGACAGGGTTTCTCTGTAGCTTTGGAGCCTGTCCTGGAACTAGCTCTTGTAGACCAGGCTGGCCTCAAACTCATAGAGATCCACCTGCCTCTGCCTCCCAAGTGCCAGGATTAAAGGCATGCGCGACCAACCACCCAGCATTCATAACCTATTTCTTACAAAGGCGCATCCAGAACATAAAAACCTGTCTGCAAGTCAACATCCTCAAGCCAGGAAAGAGCTGCTGCTTTCAATTTCCCTCCTCTCCTCCACAGAAAGATGAAAAACTGTTTGGCACTGAACACCGGGATCCAGATGAGGCAGGGGACAGTCTACGACTCGAGGAGTAGGGGAACCAAGGAAGTCCCCACCTCTCATCCTCCTTGAATAGAGAGAAGAGGTGGCAGCATTCAGACTGACCTATGGACTGGGCGCTGTGACAGATGGAGAGAGAGCAGGAGCTGGAGTGTGTGTGGAGGCACCAGGCTCTGAATTTCAAGTGGAGCTGCCTCAGGAGGCGGACACCTCAGCCCACAGCTGAGCTGGGCTGGGCTCTGACTCTTTCAGCAGCTCCGCCCCCACCCTCCATAGAAGCACTTGCGAAATCCCTCTCTGCCTGTCACGGGTCAGTCAGTATTCCAGCTTGAGGACTTTACCCTCCTGTCCCCACTCCTGGTCACTGCTCTTTCGGATGAAACCAGAGGTCAGCATAGACGATAAAGGGTTTTCAGCTCCACACACCCCACCATGCATTCCAGGCCTCGCCGTGGAGGGCAGTGTTCCTTCCCATTCCACCTTAGCCCAAATAAATATTTAATTTGTTGAAA